CTTCCTTGCATTACATTTTTCTCCGAAAATTTGTTTCTTGTAGTACGTAACCTGGTTTTGCTTATTTGCATGGCACTTAAACTTTTATAATGTAAGGATTTTGTATTCTATATAAATTTGGATTTTCAAATTTATATAACAAAATAATGGAGTTTTATTATAAAAATTAAAAAAAAGTACAATAAGCGAATGAGTTTGTGGGCTTCAAAAATGGCGATGAATTAAAAAATTTGATTTTAATATTTTGGTTGGTTGATTAAAAAAGAAGGACTGGTTAGTCAAACGTTCGATACGTAGGAAATTATTCCAATATGTTGATTGTTGATTGGATGAATAGTCGGGACGTTGAAGCAGTGCGGAACCTTCCAGCAATCGTTAGAAAGCATGCGAACAACTTGCATGCAGCCTGCCAGGCGCCTGTTTGTAAGAAGCCGATGAAGAATTTTACAACCAAAAATGAACAAAGATTCGTAATTTTTTTGAAAAAATTGTAATAACTGTTTAAGTAGAAACAACGGTCGTTTGAAATCTCGAAGTAAATTTTTTATTTAAAAAAAAAAATGAAAAAAAAGTAAAAATGAAAGAAAACGTGGTGTCATGTGACGCATTCAATCGAATTAGCGAACGAGTTTTGTGTGCATTTCCGTCGGAAATGTGCCAACGGAGATAGACTTCCACATAGATCAGTGAAAAAACGAATGAGTGAGTGAGTGTGTGAGTGAGTGAGTGAGTGAGTGAGTGAGTGAGTGAGTTAGTTAGTGAGTGAGCGAGTGAATGGATAAGTGAGGAGTGAGTGGATAAACTAATGAAAGAAACAGTAAATAAATAAATGGGAAATATAAAAATGAACTTTTGAGCTAGCAAAAAATACAACATAATGAACAAAAAAATGAATGAGAACCTAAATGAATAATTTATGAAACAAATGGAGGTTGTTTTTTATTAGATTTACATAGCTAGGCGCATCATATAATAGTATAAGACAAAATAAATTTAACTTCTTAATGAAAATTAAAGGTTACACAAAAAATCAATAGTGACTAAGGAATGTATCTCAACTCTTGCCAGCAACTATCAAAATGAAACCTACCCAACGTTTAACCGCATGCACGTACAAAAAAAAACAAAATGCAAAACAAAACTGTGAAAAATCTTTTAGAAAAAATAAAATTTTGACAAAGAAACGTCGGAAAAATTAATAAGTAGGTTAATGTGCTGAATATAAAACTCTTTTGTTGGAACTAACTGTGCTCTAAATGACAATTATGTTTTATGAGTGCATTGGCGGTCGTGTTGATGATGATGATGAGATAACTTTCATAATGGTCACACTCTAGCAATGACAATGATGATGAAGATGATGGCTGTCTCGTTTGTAAAGGTCAGGTTGATTTGATATGCAGTTGATGGCTGTCAGGTCCTTTACCATTAGCATCATCATTCTCGCTACCATAAATTAATTACTTTAATCATTATCTTTATCAGCACCTGTCATCATCATCTTAGTTATAATCTTTATCATCAACACCTTTGTCATCATCATCATCGTCATCCTCATTGTCGTCGTCTTTATGATAGAACATAATCGAATTGACGTTGAAAGTGATGGCAGTAATAACAATAATAATGGCAATAATGACAAGAACTGTTAATAACAATAATTAATAACAACGAGGTAACAGTAAAAACATGACAGGACGATAATGAATAGCTCGCAATAACAATAAACTGTTTTCGTATCGCGCTAGTCAGTGAGACACAATTAATAAAAAACTGATTGGTTATTTTTTTTTTTTCAAGAAGATAATTGAGTCACTAAAAAACGAAGGACTGCCGCTTGTTTTGCAGTTTATTGAGAAATTTTGCAGTACAATTCAGTGAGATAATAACAATAAGGTAATTTTTAAACTTTATGTTATAAATGATCACAATGAGAAAATTGCGTAGAATGTCAGATAACGGATTAAATTAACTGTATTAATCAAGGTAAAATTTTGGAAAAAAATTTGTAAGTTCTGCAATAAAAAATGTTTCGTAATGTTTATATAACATGCGATTATATTTTGTTATTCTTATTATCGGTTTTTTTGGGCAGCATTTGTGTGTGAGCTTTCTGAAGAGAGTCATGTTGTCGTGACGTGGAAAAGCATGGACATAAATTAAGGAGCGTGAATGTTGGTCACAATTAAGACAGGAAGTGAGTGCCATTAGTGTTTTCTGCTTTCATTGTAATGTATCGTCGCGCGTTTGTTGTGGATGTTGTTGCTTATGTTGATGTTGTTGGTGGTGGTCCTGGTGTTTTTGAGGTTGTTGTTGTTGGTAATGTTAAAGTTGATGTTTTGTTATTGCTGAATTTAAGGTTATTGTAGTTGTGGTTGCTACTTTTCATGATGTTGATGTTATTATAGAGGTAAATGATAATTATTTTTTATAAATTTGACAAATTTTTGTTCTTATTGAAAAAAAGCCGATTTCTGAACATTTTTGATCTCGATTAATTTGAAAATATTTTATTTACTCAAATATATTATTGTCGGGTTTTATATTTTGATAGTGTACTATGTAACTTATTTTAAAAATTATATCTTAATTTTTTATTTTTAAAAAATTAGCAGAAATTCATAACATACGTCACTCGGACCTGATGAAGACTTAATTTATAATTGTTCTTCAAAAACTGTCCACAATTCATTGCGTTGTGTTTAATTCCCTGCTAAAATATTCATGACCTGGCGGCGCTATTATTTTTATGACGTGAAATGCTGATATGTTGCTGAGTTAACTGACGCCATGTACACAACATAAATAAACACCTGGCTGTCATCTCATTCATCTGCTCCACATCCTCCATCAATCTCACTTATATGAACATCAATATAATGCTGCCATGCCATCACAGAAATATAATATGGAAACGAATTGTAAACTGGATTATGATTAACTTTCGTTCAGTTATTTTGAACAGTTATTTTAAAAGATATTTTTTGCAGACTTGAGTGTGGAAAGTTTATTGTATAAAGTCATAATCAGATGCATGCATAGTTCTAGTTTAGGCTGACATTTGCATTAAACTAACTGATAATTTTAGATCCAGTACATGTTATTTTTAAACGCACTTCTTATCCAACGGGAAGTTGAAGTCTATAATTAAAAAAAATATTGATTGCGCGCCTTAACAAAATGATGGAAGAAGTGCTGTTGCGTGCGTGCAACGTTTAATAGGCATCACATCAGGGTATCAGTGTGCTTGGTGGTCCAACAACGTGATGCATGGCTTTCTTGGAATCTTCAATCGATACAGTTTTTACATTAGTGCAACGAAATGCATTGCATGATGAAATGTCACAAAAAACAATTCTGAACAAAATTACAGCAACAACATAGATTATAACGGCTGAACTTACAACAACACGAACAACATTGTTGACGCCAAGGAAACGCCTCTAACAAAACAAACTGAATGCAGCACATCGATAGCAAAGCAACACATACAACAACAAATGTACATATATACAGAACATACAAAAACATACAACATCAAAAGAACATACATACAAAAAATACAATATCAAAAGTACATACATACAAAACATTCAACCTACAACATCAAAAGTAACAACAGCAATAACGCAAACAACAACAACAACAACTACTACTACAACAACAATAGTAGAACTCATTAATAAAAAACGACGACGGTCTTTGATGCAAGCGAGTATGGCAGAGGCAGAGACACAGCAGAATGCATAATTTACATGAAAGAATGTTCATCATCCTGATTAGCAATATCCCCAACAAACAAGCAACAGACAATCATTATATATGACTGGCCACACAATATATATAAATCAAAAAACATTCACGTATGTAGGTGTATTGCAGAGGTGGGTAGGTTGGTTTATAGACAGGTAGGTCTGTGTGTGTGTGCGTGCGTGCGTGTGCGTGTAGGTAAGAAGTTATGAATATGCATGAGACAGCTTCAAACAATGACATGTGGTGATATGCAAATATAATATAGAACATAAATAAAAGATTCTGAATATAATTACGTATACAATGTAACACATATAAGTAGAATATAGGCTTAAAAATAGCGAAAAAATTATCACTGAAAGAAAAAATGATTAACGTTGCACTTTGTTGATGTCATGATGAATAATGATGACGACAGCAATCAATATTTAAAAAAATGATATTTTAACAATCATCTTGTGGTGAAAAACTTCAAAGTTTCATTATTTTAATTGAATTTATTCATTATATTGAGTCAGTCAAACTTTTTTTTGTTCTATAATGTTTATGATGTTGCTAGTTCATTACGAACAAAAACAATCAAATTTGCAATGGTCAATTGAAGTTAATAAAATCCAATTAATTATTTTCTGTTATAATTTGCCGTTCACAAGCTTATTAATATTTTTCTTGTAATTTTTAAATTTTGGTCATATGTATTGTCACAAAGCTCTAACAGATAAAACAAAAAAAAACTTAAAGCACAATTTTTAAATTTAATTACTTTGATGATAAAAAAACGCCTACAAAAATTTAACGAAGCAAAACAACAAAACAGTACTAAGGTTTAATTATTTTGCATTGAAGGAAATATGTCAAAAAAGACATAGTAGTCAACATGTGCGAGCACGTGTTAAGTAGCAAACGTCCGTGTTATATAAATGGCTTGTGTATTCAGTCTAATCAACTGGGTTACGTTTTGATGATTAAAATATTGATATCAATTATTCATGATATCAGTTATTCATGATATCAATTATTCATGATATCAATTATTCATGATATCAATTATTCATGATATCAATTATTCATGATATCAATTATTCATGATATCAATTATTCATGATATCAATTATTCATGATATCAATTATTCATGATATCAATTATTCATGATATCAATTATTCATATCATATGAGTTAAATAACAACGGGAAAATAAAATGCTGACTAACCAAAAAATGAATAGACATCAATATCAATTTCGACATTACATTCCAATTGAATGAATATAAAACAAATAGAAATTTGATAAAATCTGACCGTGAGAGGAGCTCTGCATTTGAAGATGTTCCTCCTGCTGACGCACTTGTCGTCGCAATTCCAACATTTGCATTTCTCTCATTACGTTTTTGTCCACCATTACTTCGGAGTAATTTTTTCCTGGATTATGTCCCGATATCTGAGTTGCGTTGATGCTAATTCGGCTCATAAATTGTTGCTCCATTTGTTTATTTTGTTGTTGTTGTTGCTGTTCATGTTTGTCTTGCTGCAGTTGCTGTTGCAGATGATTTCGATGGCGACGATGATGATGTTGACAATAATCTTGATTGATCTGACTGTTTGGTTCCTTATTTGTCTCACTTATTGCGTGCGACCGTTCTCTGTCATGATGATTATTTGATGATTTCACGCCGTTGTTATGTCCTGTGTTCAATACTGCGCCATCTGCATAATCAGTTTTTGTTCTCGTTGAGACTCCTTGCAAATAATTATCAATGTTACTTTGGCCACTTAACATTTTCAAAGAATTCCTCGTTTTGCTGTTTGAACCACAACTTTTGTTACATTTGCAACAATTTTCAATAGGAGTTTGTTCTTTTTTGCTGAACCACGATTCTTTTGTTTTTAACTTTTCAGACTTGAAATCAATTTTGAAGTTTTGTTTCAATTTACTAGGGTTGAACAATTTTTTCAAATTGAACTTTCCATCTGTTGCCATCAAGTTGGAATTGGGGTCAACAATGTTGTCAACATTTTTTGCAAAACGAACTTTTGTTGGAGTTTTGCTGCGTGTTTTTGTGTATTTTTTAACGGTTGATCCAATTGTTTCACTTCGATCAAGCACTGAATTGTTTAAAATTTCAGAATCACTTGGAAACGAAAACCAAACCCTTTCTTTGCATTTCTTGGCATCGTTCTTATAAATGTGATTGTTGTTGATGTCTTTGTTGCACTTGTTCTTATCTTCATTAATGTTACTGCTACCAAATCTAGTTTTTGGTAAGTTTAAATTAATGCCAAGATGTTTGGCTTCTTTGGTTACTTCTTCCCAACTCATGTAAATATCATCTTTGTTGTTAATATTGTTGTTGCGGTTGTTTAAACCGCCGATGTTACTGTTGCGAACATGAAGGTTGTTATTGTTAATATCGCTCTTGTAGTTTCTTTGAAGTTTGCCTTGTTTCATCATATTTCTTGAAATGTTTTGCATCTTCGCATGCAATCTCGATCCAGCAGCAGCAGTCGGCATCACGGCATCGACTCGTTTTGTGTACACATAGTTGGCGCCACCCATCTCATCCTCATTTATTTTGTTGTAATTTTTGTCCTCATTATCATTATCATCGTCGCTTTCATTATCGTTGTTATAATTACAAAATGTTTCGCAAGGGTTTTTAATGTCACTTCCATTTGTAATCATGCTGTTTTTATTATGGTTTTCCTTGTCAACATTTTTAACGACGTGTAAAATGTTTCTACTCTCATCAGCTTCAGGTCTTATTTTTAAAGTAGCTTGTGCGTGATATTTTTGCGACATTGCGTTTGAAAGGTTCATTTCTTTCAGTTGCTCTGGACTTATCATTATGGCATAAGAGCTTTTTTTCTTTGCTAAATGTTTTTTCGGTTCAGTTTGAAAGTTTTGCGAGCTCAAATGTTTGGGGCTTTGAATGAATTGTTGCACATCTTGTGATTGAGCTTGTAACTGTTGCAGCTGATGTTGTTGTGTATGTTGTAGTTGAAACAGTTGATGCTGGTTGGTTGATTGGAACTGTTTCTGTTGTTGTTTTTGTGAGTATTCGATAAGAGCCCTTAGCGGATTTAACATTCGGTAGCCACTATCGGGTGTATCGTCATCTGTCATGCCACCATCATTAACATCACTAACACTAACATCGTCATTTTCAATGTCATCATCTTCGTCATCATCATCGTTATCAGCATCAACGTTATCATCGTCCCAAACTTCAGCAACCTTGAGAGTTCCATGATTAATTTCATCAACGTCACTACTCTGCTGCATCTCCGCGTTGTCTGCCTTCCTCTTATTTTCTTCTACTGCAATCGTGCTCGCGTGTTTATTCATGCGAACAGTTTCATCAGCATTTTTCAATATAGAATTTGATTTGTTTGAGTCTGAAATGTCATCAAATGCATCATCGTCTTCATCCGCAGAACTTCCATCATTTTTATTTGATTCATGCTTGATGTTTATCTGAAACTGATCATTAAATCGGTTGCTGATTTCACCGTCTGATAAAAAGACATCATCGTCTTCCTCATCTTCATCATCCTCATCATCACAATTTATTTCTTTGTCTTCCTTACTGACATCATTAAGTTCGCTGTCGAGATCATTATCAAAAGGCAATTTTTTCGTAACGTTGTTGAACATGACACGGTCTCGTTCCTTCACCAACTGTTGTTGGTGTTTCAATTGCCAGCTCATTTGCTGTTCTCTTAAATTTTGTAGTTGCGGATGTTGATATTGTTGGACTTGTTGAAAATTTAGGGAGAGCTGCAGATCAGAACTGATTGAGCTCAAAGTTTTTTCAAAATAAACTTGAGTTTGTCGTTCGCATTTTTCAACAACAATATTTTTACCTGCGTTCGGATCGCAAAGTGATGTTCCAGAAGGATTGTAGTTATCGACTGTTAGTTCAACAGTGTCTGTTTTTGTTGATGATCTGTCATAAGCCTTTTTAAACTCTTTTCTGTAACTTGATGGCAACTTTATCATAAATTGTTCTTCCAAATCTTCCAACGTCAAATAACCTGAAAGGAACAAAGTCGTTTATCATTTTAATTGCCTTCATAGTTTTTGTTTGGTTTTGCTATTAGGCATTTATGTTCAATTTTACAAATTAGATATTTTATCAAATTGAAAATGTAGAAAGTATAATTTAAAAGTAAATGAAAAAATATAACTTATAAGTAAACGCATAAAGTATAATAAAATGTAAAAATTCTTGTCATCGACATGAATTTGGTTAGAAATATTGAGAAATGTAATAAAAATAAAAAACTATCCAAAGCCAGAAATTCGGTAGATTTCATAAATTACTGCATTATTTAAGGTCTTTTACCAGCATTCACTAATATAATGTAAAAGTAAATTTATAACAAACAGTAAACAGAATAATGTTAAAAAATAATTTGAGTTTAGTTTTAATTCACTGAAATAAAAGCAGTTGAAACGATGAATGAGCCCACCTGATTCCTTGCCGCTGCTGTCCGTGTCGTAGGAGCTTGAACCCGGCGTGCTCACTGGACTGCATTTCGATGAGCTGCTACTTTGTTTTTGTCCCTGCTCATAAGCATGCTGCACTTTCTTCGTTGAAGTTGTGCTGCCCTCGAGTTCCATCTCGGATGAGACTGATGCATTTCTGCTCTCTCCTGTGCCACAACGTTCACTCGACGATCCTTCCGATTGCTGCTGCTGCTGTCTCAAATGTTGCTGAACTTTCAGCAAATTTTGTTGTTTTTGTTCGGTGAGTCTGCGCAGTGTTGATGGAGGCAAATTCACGTGCTCCTCTGACGTCATCGTGCTGTGCGCGTCTTCATCGTCAGGAAACGTTTGATTCGTCGAATCAGTTATAACTGTAGTGCCAACGATTGGACGAGGATTGGGATCGGGAAGGACAGGTTTGAAAGCCACAGGTCCAGTGTCGACCCCTCCATCTGATGAGGAACCCTGAGATTTTTTTCCGGGTTTATTAGTTTTGTTGATGACGTTTTGTTTGCAGCTGTTATTGTAGCTGTTGTTGTTGCTGCTGTCTTTTAAGTTATGTTGTATTTGGTCTTTGCAGTTATATCGTTTTTGGTTGGAGTTGCTTGTGACATCAACATCTTGCTTGAGCTGTGTTGATGTCATCATCTCCATGGTGTATTCAATTAAACGATCATCCTGTCAAACACTCGAACGTCTATTCTTTTTATTTGATGATTTTTGTACTATAACTATAATTAAACTTTTCTTTTTCAAAAACTATTTGCAACTTTAATTTTTATTTAAATATGTTTATTTAAACATTTTAAACATAACAAAATAATAAAATTAATTAGTAACAACAAAAATCCAAAAAAAAAATAAAAGTGTTTTTCAAAAGAGAAATATCTTTGAGTAGAACCTTAAAGCCATTACATTCACGTTATATCACGCCAACGTACATCTCATTCAATGAAAAAAGCTTGCATATAAATACACGCAAGTAAGTAGGTAGGTAGGAAATACATCCTTACATCCATCTATACATCTATACATCTATACATCTATACATCTATACATACATACATACATACATACATACATACATACATACATACATACATACATACATACATACATACATACATACATACATACATACATACATACATACATACATACATACATACATACATACATACATACATACATACATACATACATACATACATATGAATGATCGTCATACTTTAAATTTGTTAGAATTGTTTGACATGTTTCAGTTGAAAAACTTAATCAATCAATCAACTCACGAACGGGGAGGTATACTTGATCTGATTGTTTGTTCAGAAGATTTTTTGGTATCAGATTTAAACATTTTTCCATGTGGGATTTTGTCCGACCATAGCTTGATACAGGCTCGTATACCATTAACTTACGAACATCCTAAAACTGTCATGAAAATGGTTAGATCATGGAGATTTTTGGATGAGACCAAGCTGTTTAAACACGTGGAAAACTCACCACTATCAAGGTCATGTCTGAGTGGTGACATCAGTTTTGAATTTGATATTTTGAATACTGAACTCAAGAAATTGGCTGATGAAATTGCTCCTTATCATTTTACTAAAGTCAGATGTGATGTTGCTGCCCCTTGGTACGATTATGAATGTAAGACAATCAAAAGACTTTGTCGTAAAAAAGAAAGAAACTACAGAAAATATCAGTCTTTTGAATGCAAAGGTGACTGGATTGCTGCTCTAAAAAACAAATCTCGAATTTTTTCCCAAAAAAGGAATTATTATTGGAAGAAACTTATCAACGAAAATTGTGGATCTCCTAAAGATCTATGGAAAATAGTAAACAAAGTATTATGCAATCAAGTTACTGGTGAATCATCTAATGAAATTATAAATCTAGATTCGTCTCAGTTTGTGAAATTTTTTGATGATAAAGTTAATAGAATAAGACAGACTACTAATGTTACCAGCAGACCGGCAATAGATCAGACAATGTCTAATATGAACTGCTCTTTTTCTGATTTCACGTTTCTTACAGAATTGGAAGTTAAAAGAGTAGTCCTCAGTTTGCCATCTAAAACATGTTTGATTGATAGTTTTCCTACGCACATTTTTAAAAAATACATTGATCTGTTCATAGTTTTTCTGACGAGTTTTATAAACTTGAGTTTAAGCAGTGGTTCTTTTCCTCTTGGGTGTAAACAAGCTATTGTTTATCCGGTTTTAAAAAAGGTGAATATGGATAGAAATGACTTGACTAGCTATAGACCAATTTCCAATATTTGTTTTATTTCTAAAGTGATTGAACAAGTGGTTACTAAACAGCTTCTTAATTATTTGACTTTGAACAGCCTATTACCAGTGCATCAGTCTGGATATCGTCGACATCACTCAACTGAGACAGCACTGCTTTATGTTTTCTCTGAACTGTTTGCTGCGCTGGACAGACAGCATGTGGCATTGGTAGCTTTCTTGGATATGAGTGCGGCATTCGACTGCGTCGATTATCAAATTCTTTTAGAAAAATTGGCTTATGAATATGGTATCTCCGGTGTAGTTATTGAATGGTTCAGATCATATCTAGTTGGCAGGACGCAGCAGGTTGTTTTCAGAAATGTTTTATCTGATGTAATGGTCTTAACATCAGGAGTACCTCAAGGCTCAGTGTTGGGACCTATTCTTTTTGTCATGTACACTGCTGGGGTTTTAAAGATTATTGATGAGTTTGGTTTTAAGTATCACGCTTACGCTGACGACATACAAATAATAATTAGTAATAAGCCAGAACTACTACAATGTGAAATAAATAGACTGGTCCAGTGTCTAAGCAATGTTGAAACGTGGATGTCTAACAATGGTCTCAAATTGAACCAACAGAAATCACAATTTCTTCCCGTTGGAACATGGCAGCAGTTGACAAAACTAAATATTGATTCGGTGGAAATTGATGACGTCAAGATTGGGTTCTGTGACAAAGTAACTAATTTGGGTTGTTTACTGGATACCAGATTATCGATTCAGGATCATATAAAAACGATAGTGAGAGCATGTTCCTTTCAGATTAGAGAGTTATACAAAGTACGTAATTCTTTAAATAAATCGGCTATTCAGACGTTGGTGCATGCACTTGTTCTTTCAAAACTAGATTACTGCAATAGCCTTTTTTACGGGTTACCTGATAAACATGTTTCTACTCTTCAGTCCGTACAGAACAGAGCGGCCAAGTTGATTGTCGGTGGTCTCAGATACAATCATGTAACTCCTATTTTGGAAAGTCTTCATTGGCTCACTGTTAAAAAAAGAATTACATACAAAATAGGCCTAATAATGTATAAAGCGTTACATGGTCTGTTACCAGGTTATCTGATCAATAAAATAGAAGAAAAATCCGTAATGATGAGTGGCATGAAGCTGAGGTCAGATGATAATATTTTGCTGGTTGTCCCGGATATCAATTTACAGATCGCGTCAAGAAATCTGGCTGTTTCAGGACCGGCTGTTTGGAACAGTTTGCCAAGATTTTTGAAATCTAAAGACTTGAAGCTGGATGATTTTAAGAAGAAATTGAAAACTTATTTATTTGCACTTTGATTTTGATTTTGAACTGTTTATTAATAACTGCCATTGTATACTGTTCTTTATTTTTTTTAATTGCTATGGATGGCGCTTTTGAGAACTTTTTGATTTTAATTGGCGCCTTATTAAGTGTTTTAATAATAATAATAATAATAATAATAATAATACATACATACATACATACATACATACATACATACATACATACATACATACATACATACATACATACATACATACATACATACATACATACATACATACATACATACATACGTACGTACATACATCAACCACGCATGCTATTCAAGTCTGTCATCGTTATTATGAAGACAACTATGGTTTTTTTGTTATAAACACGTGCTCTTTTAATACAATAGAAATAAATAAATTCAATTTTGAAAAACAAGTCATATTATAAATAAAATATAAATATATACCCTATACAAATGTATATACAAATATAAACATTATATATATTTATTTAATGTATATGTTTGGCACAAAAGTATTATGTAAATAATGTTTAAATGAATATGATCTACCGCACATCTCATCTCAGCATTTACTGTTAGCGAATGAGTAATATAGGTACGGTCATCCTTACTTCAAAACAACAATGTCCCCTGTAGCATATTTTGATATGCCATCGTTGGTAAATTTTCTTGTGCTGAACTGATATTTATAACGCTCTTTCTTAAAATAAAACAGAAATAAACTTTCTTAAAAAATGTTTGATAGCCAGATCTTGAAATTTGAATACATTTATTAAAATTACATAGACACCGTAACAGTATTCCATGGGAAAAAAGACATACGGTAGAACATTCAATCAAATTTTTAGAAATATGATTGCGTGTCAACCTTGGATGAAAATGCTTGCAACACACAGCGTCAAATGAAAATATTTGCCTGCGTGCGTGAATGTTGGTTGGTTGTCGTTGTTTGTTTACTTGTTTCACACTACTACATTTCACGCGAGTACATCTATCAACATGTTTCATTGTACTAAGCTAACTAATGGGAGATGGTCAATCAGATTGTTTGATGAATATAATATTGAATATGATGCATTCGTTATTTGATTGTTTTTTTTAATATGTTAAATGACAAGCTGATGAACATTAATCTCTTTTGTTCAAACCGTTTTATATTCACAGCCATCTTATGAAATTAAATCATGGTTTGAAATCTTTTGTTTCTAGTTCTTGAAACATTAAATGCAATTAACATTTGATCAACCAAAGAGTGTTAAAGAATACAAACTACTTATTCAACTTGGTGGTCACTTTTTTGTTTATATATTTGCGTCGATATTTTTATATTTTAGTCAAGATAATTACTGTTTAATTTAGTGGGCCGTACTATTATTTGACCTAAGATCACTTTATATAAAATAAAATGCTAAAAAATTATAAAAAATGCATTAGGTATATATGTACGCAAGCTTGTTTATTTGTATAAATATAGCTCGCTCTCTTTTTCATCCACACAGCTTTCGCGCCAGCATGTTTTTATATCGAGGGTTGTGGTTGGCATAGCAACGAATATTATTAAAAAGCGCGGGTATGTTTTTTATTAACGAAAAAAATATTTTTCCTTTGAAATTTTAGAGTAAAAATTGTTTGAAGCTCATTGTTTTGCAGAAACGATTAATTTAATGCTGAAATGGAATGTACAGAAGGAAATGTACAGCGTGAATAACAATTTGAAATGCTTTGTCTTAAAAATCGAACATAGGTATGCAAAAGGAAGAAGCAAAAATTGGCACACGAAAATAATAATCATGAACAAAACTGGGAACTAAAATAACAAAGAACAAAAAAAAACATATATACTACTATTAATAATGATAATAACAAGGGCAAAAGATGCAGCAGTTATATAAATACGCGCCTCCCTAGATTTGTATTTTACGTGGTTCTTGCTTGAAGGAAGAGGCTCAGGCAGGAATGCAGCAGCGCACATTCGCAGAGCGCACGTGCAATGAAGAGCGCCACATCCATCATGAGAGTGAGGGATTGAGTACACTCTCGTTGGATGCATCATTTCATTCGCATATCATGCATTCAGTACAAAATAACAGATCCTTTCGTTTTTGTGTTAATTTTAAAGCAACGAAAGCAATAAAAATATGACTTTTATAATTTAGGTAAAAAATAATTCAGCAGTTGTCATTTAGTTCAAAGAAATTCATAATTTTTACGCACACACATGCGGACAGAAACGAGAAAAACAACGAAGGACGAAACACCGTTAACGAATGAGATGGATTTCAGTAAAGTTTGCGGTGGTAAGAGTATGGACGAGGCGGCGATACCTGTACATGGGTGCTTCTGCTATTGAAACAGATTGTGAAGATTTTGCAAAGTAATAAATTTAAGCTAAAATAGAAGCTTGAGTCAAAAAAACGATTGTTACTAAAATGAATTTGTAGGAAGAATAAGAACAGATTAAGAAATTATATTACGTAAAAAATTAGTAACAAGGGAAAAAATGAGTGAATAGTATAAACATGAAATTTACGACTGAACGCTTTTGTTTCTGCTCGAGCAATCTTGTTTTAATACAAACATGACCAAAAACAAGAGTAAAAATAACGTCACACATTATAATTGGTGAGGCGCAAAATCTTGAAGAGAAAGGCATCCGCAAAAAACAATATAACGACGCAAAAGCTTTCAGGTCAACATTAATGAAGTACCCGTAATTCAACGATATCAGCTTATTTGGGATTTGAGCGTTTCGAAAGATTTTGTTCAGGTGCTGAAGTTCAAATTAATCGTTGCGATATTGCTGTCGCTTCAACAATGCACCGCTTAATAAATATTATTTATAAGAATAGAAAATGTTGGACGAGAGCTCACGAAATCAGATAAATGAGATCATCCAAGAAATTCAGCCTCCTTCAGATACCTATGATACACGTAAGAACTTTACATGGTTGCGTAAGAACTTTACATGGTTGTCGATAGCAAGATTTTAAGGCACGTTAAGGAAAATTCAAAATGGAGATTCATTAAACTCATGGAAAGATTCTGGGCGTTTCGTTCATTTTTTGCGATGAAATTGAAATTTAATTCGGATTTATTGCCATAACATTCTAGCCTTTCCTATACTCGAGATAAATTATATATATACATAACTTTTCAATTCACATTTTCGTTGTCGGTCATTATTTTGATGTGGAGCCAGACCAAATTTTACAACGAATTCAAAAAAACGAGCTTGACATATTTGGACACATCAACATCATTTATTTACACGATTAAATTAATTAAAAAATAACAGATTATAATTTAAACCATTTGAAAACTAAAAATTTTCAGGATGCTTAATTAAGAAAACTTAAAGCGACAAAAAATCACGGTGCATCGTAATAAGTTGGTTAGCAGACAAAAAACGGAGGAGGTTTATTAGAAAGTATTTTCCCACCAGCCAATTGACTGTACTGATATTTTTAGATAGCCTTGATTTTCATCCTCTTCATTTTTGGTTGTTTTCTTTTGGCTTCTTTTTTTAAATTTTTCTCCTGAAATAATAAAACTGGTCAGAAAAATTGACAACGAAATGAACGAAGTCATTAATGAGATCACCTCCAGTTTCCTCTGCTTATCCGGGTCATCTTCATTCATAATCTTCTCTTTCTCCGCTCTTCTCTTTTCCTCCTTTCGATTTTGAGCCGCTTCACTCCTCTGAGAATGTGTAGCCTTCTGGTACAACTCCAAAACCTTCTGCCTGTTTTTGTCTGCTTTCAATTTCGCCTGTAAACGTTCAGAAAGCTACGTACGTTAAAGAACAAATCTAGCATTTTGATTGAATGGAATTTGTAATCTGTTTAATGCCTGACAAAGATAACACGGTTGATAATGTTTAAGAAAAGTTGAATCTAGTTTAATTCTTTGTATGAACTTCTTTCAAAAATTATTTAAATAAACGAAAACGAGAGTTGGCGAATGAACGAATCTAAATTGAAAGTAAGAATGCAACAACCTCCTTGCTGAGCCTGAAGCGTTTAATTTTGTCCATGCAATAGAAGACCATTTGAAGAAGTGGTTTCATGTGATCCATGTCTTTTGGGGATGTGAACCCACTGTCTGTCACTGCAAAATAAACATGTCAGTTCATCATCAGGTTCCAAATCTGAAATGCATAAGATATCTAACCGTTGAAGCAAAATATGAGCACTTTTTGTGTTTCTGGCACCTTGGTTGTGGTACTATCTCTGTCCAGATTCAAGTGGGAGCATAAATGAATAACTCGCCGCCGAAAATGAGATCAAAAGTTGAAAAGTTAAAACAATATACAAACTCTGGCTGTTTGACACCAGCATATTGATCTGAAAAATGCAGATATTCCACAGCTCCTTCATACTTTTTTAAAACTGCAGTTACCTGAATCAAAGTGTGTAAAACATAATTAAGAAGTATGAATAATAATATTTATAAATTTTAACAAAAAAAAATTTATCGAATTTGAAATTTACAAATAAAACTTGTTAAAACTGGCAATAAAAAAGGCCAATCAACCTTAGAATCTAGTATGAATGCAGTGACTTCACTGCACTCACTCAACATCTGGAAATGGCTTGGAATGAGGAACTTCTCACAACTTTTCTTCTCAGGGCAGAAGTTTGACTGTTTTTTGATTAGCAGAGATATTATGATACTTTACAATTTTAGCATTCTCAGTAATGAATTGAGTTTAAAAATTGAAATAAATAAATAATGACGGCCAATTAATTAATTAATTCTCACCAAATCAGCATGATCTTTTTGCAGTTTGGTGATTGACCTCTTGTGACTCAAACAAAACACAAAATTGTCCATATCTGAATCATCCATGATTACCTTCACAAACTGAAACATTTTATTGCTGGCCTTTAGTTAGGAAGAACCAATGTAGAAAAAAACCATCAAACAGGCAATTATATTTACTCCAAACACAAAATAAAAGCAATACCTTTAACACTGACTTACTATCAATGAACATGAAAATGAAGAAAAATGTAGAAAAGAATAGTGAACAAACAATTTGATCAGTAGCAGGTCTAAACATTCTTGAAATGGTACTCAACAGATCCTGCCTCTTTAACATCTTTATGGTGACAAGCATTCCCTCACAACACGTTCGACCACTGCACCACAAAGAATATATATTTTCCGCTTCCTTCATTAAACCTGTGTTCGTTGCTTCCATAGTTGTACCATCATCACCTAATTGAATAAAAACAAATATTAATAATGTCACAATTGCAATTATTAACATTTTAAATTATGATTAGAATAATAGAAAAATTGATAAACTGCAAACCTATAACTGAAAAGTTTTCTTCAAGAAGTTGCTTGTGTGATTTGAGCCATGCCTGAGCAAGTTTTTGATTCTTTGTTTTGCCAGCCAAGTAGTTTAGAAGGTAGGCACCAAGGCCAGCCAGCATTAATATTTCCATGTAGAAACTATCCCAGTTTGTATGAAGATGCAAAGGAACCTACGAAAAAATAATACTAATGAGGTATTATCACATAATAAGTATGTGGAAAATTGAACTCATATGAAAGATATCCAAAATATTATACAAACTTTAACGATTTTCAAATCTGGTGGTTGTTCACTTTTTGCCTTTGGTTTTTTCTCTCTATCGAACCCTTCAAATTCATCTTCATTTAGATACTCGAATTCTTCTTCATCTTCCTTTTTTTAAAAAATATAAACCTTTTTAATGAAATAAGAATCACAAAAATCTCAGCTAAAAAGTGTTAAACTATAAATGAAAAAAATTTAATATTTGAAGAAATATAACATTGCTTTAAAAATGAACCTCCACAACTGCATCATCTTCTTCCTCGTTCTGATCTTCATTTGAATCCATGACTTGAGCAGCTTCTGGGGACATGATGATCTTTGGTTTTTGTGGTTCTGGTTCTTTCTGGTTGTCATCATTTGTTACATAAGTCGTTTCCTCTAATAAAAAAGTTGGTAAAAAGCCAGTTAATTGTGAAATAATTTATCTTTAAGTTAATTATTTGCAAAAATTTATTATAACTTCTTTAAATCAAGAATTAAAATAATGTTCAAGTAGAAAGTACATGCATCAAAATTTCACTATTTATAAAAACAAAATTTATTTTAATTATAATGTTTTATTAATAACAAATAAGAACCTGAAGAAAACACACAATGCTATCATATAATTAGCTAGAGTGTAGGACTACAAATTACTTATTATATGACTGAAAAATCATTTTCAAACAAAAAATAACCATCATCAAATTCTTCAAACTCTGCAAATTCATTATTTTCAATTTTCTGAGATGCATCAATAGAGTTAAACTTGTATAAAATCAGTAAGAAAAGTAACAATGAACATTTCATCTTTAAAATCTGAAAAATTAAAAAAAACACATGTTCATATTATTTATTTAATAATTATATAACAAAATTTAACTTTGCTATTAAATCAATTTATTAATTTAATTTGTCAACAATATTTTATAAATTTATATATTGAGATGAATTCAATTGATCAATGACATTCCTATGTATAAGTGTTTTTATATATAAATCACATGATGTAACTGTGTAAAATTAATTATTTATATACAATAATTGACAAATTTGTGATTGCTTTTGACGTGGTAAATGATCTAATCTCCATAAAAAGGAAACAAAGACTAATTACTAATTTAAATTTAAAATAAATAAAAAATAATATTCTCTTGTCTTGCCTTTGCCATGCTGTAATTGTAATCTAATTTTTAATAAAATTATGACTTAAAAAATTATTCTAACATTCATGGACATATAATACACTATTGGTTATCATTACAATATAATAAATTACAAATAAAATGATTATCAAATTAATTTAATTAAAAAATGAATCCGCTGCATTCTGCTGGATGAAATTGAAATGAAATGTGACAGCAATCAGCATAAAAAAATAGCATGCAAATAACTCATTAAATACTAGAAATTAAAAACTTACTAAAATCGAAATGCTATAAAATGAATAAAACGTAAGGAAGAGCCCGTATAAATCCAAAACATAAATTCGTACGTGTTTACAATTATGCAAACCTTGCTTTCTCTTACTAAAAAAAATTAAAAGAAAGTTGTGCCAGAACTCAGCAACATAAATTTGTTATGGTATGGCGCGGCAGTTTCACATAATGGAAAATTATGAGAAGGTCAAACAGACACAAAGCCCGCATCCATATTTACAGATATATTTACATTATTTATAGTTAAAAATCTATAGTTTTATTGCTTTTACATCTAGTCTTTAAGATATTAGTTTTGTAGTTAAAGAGGACATCCTGGTTCTTTGTTCTTCCAAAATTTGTATTGATAATTTTTGAAAGCTTTAACAATTTCGGGTAGGCTACATAGATATATATGGTAGGCTATTTCAAACTTTCCCTACTCTCTCACAAGAGAGCATATGGATAGGTGCTATTGTGTTTTTAAAATTAGGTTTCCTATATGCGTAAAATATATATGATAGTTCTTTATAACTGTAATTTTTTGACATTATTTAATTAAATGCAAAAAAATTAATTATATTTATCTTATAGCATCAGTACAGCTATTTATAATATCTAATTGTGCGTAAATTTATATTTATATATAGATTAAATCAGTAAGGTTTATAATTATACATATAGCTAGATCTATTGACTGAGATATATATTAAATTAGCAGTGAAATTAATAAAAATATTGCCCACATTAGATCATGTCTTATTAAAAATATTAAAGGCAGCAGATGACAGATAGATAGATTGGCAGATAAAGCGCCTGGTCTTGCGTCACGCTGATTTATGAAAAGAAAGGCGACCTTGGTCTTATTTATATCATATTTTACATCTTTTGAGCCCTAACACTTGCTATTTCTAATAAATAGCTTAGCCGAGAACCAAATTTACTTAGAATAGTACATAAAAATATACGAGTACCCAATTCTTAATTTCATTTTAAAATACAGTGCTACAAAAGTTGGATGACGTTAGTTTCTGATTTCAAGCATTTTATCGTAACCCTCTTCACTTCCTTGTGACGCCCGTCGGCTTTTTTTCGTTTAATTTTTATTTAGATTAGAAATTATCATTAGCTAAAAAAATAATGCTTCTATCTTTTTGGTCCACAATTTTTTGTCTTGTACTAAGTACAATTTTGCTGATTGCATTGGTTAATTCAGATGCCAATAGTAATAAAAATTACCTGCGGAAGGAGCATTCCTTGATGAAGCCATACAAAGGTGAATGCCTGAATGAATTGAATGAGAATAGGCCAGGGTGAACAGTGAATCCTTTTTTATTCATTTTTTGGTGGTAATTTATTATTTAAATATAAAAGAAACGGTGATTTATCTTAGTAGTTTCTGACAAGTATGTATTGTGTATAACTGTATAAGTGTATAGTTATATAAAGTGTATCTATATAATATATTATTTATATTATATACAATGAGCTGTTGTTTTTATTTTTATAATTTAATTACAATAAAAAAGCAAAGTTAGTTGGTCATAAAAAGCAGTGAAACTACTTATCAACTTCACTACACTAATAAGTATATAATACTATATACTCTAGTCTACATCATTTCTTTTATTATCATATTTCTATGATACTACAACAACCCCATCATCCATCAATCTGTAAAGTAAAGCTTGTTAGTAAGTTAGTAAGACTAAGTTATAAGTGATATTGATTTGATTAGCTTCTAAATTAAAGTATCAGTATGAGGGGAGCATGAATTGCTGTATATAATTTGTTTTATATCACCTGTCAAACCATTACAGTTTTTTATAAGTTTTCTGTATAGTCGTAATAATATGTTTAAAATTGAACTTGGCATTTATAATAATTTCATGCTGCTACATATTATCTTTTGATTGGCTGTCTACTGTATAGCCAAATGTTTTAAAGTCTTTGATTAGGCTTTTTTTATTTATCATTACTACACATTCTTTAAGGTATTACTAAACTTAAATTTTTTGGAACCAGAAAACATACCCTTCAAAGATATTACAGATCTCTGGTTTTACTACAAATCTTACATTTATTATGTTTTATAATTAAAAATTGAATGAATGATCAGATTTCTATTTTTATTATAAACTTTGAGTTGCATTAAAGTTTTTGTCTGAAACATTGACTACATTGTGTTGTAGTTATTACATGAATGTTTATCAACAAATATTTTTTTTGTAGAATATTAAAGCCTTATAAATAATTGATGATTCATTTAAGATGACAGATGGAATTTGCTTGGAAGTGCCATGTTTTTGAACAATTATGTACGACTAACTCCTGATCAACAGAGTCGCAAAGGAGCTGTTTGGAACAGTGTGGTTGGTAGATGGCTGTTATCATTTTCAAATATTTACTTTTTGTTTTTTAAAGTTGCAATAAAATTACTGAGTTGAAAACAGTTTGATATAATATCTTGATATTTTGCCAAATTTTAAGCTTTATCTTGAGTAATTAATTTTTTTATTCATGAGTCTTATTAGATTTAAAACTGATTTTTATTTTTTTAATTGTTGAGGTTTATAAAGCCTGTTTTATTGTTCAATTCAGTTTTAAAAGTTTTTAAATATAACGTTTTTTAAATGTGGTTTTTCTGTTTGGTGTCTTACGTTTTGTTTTTTTAATTCATGAATGTTTCTTCTGTTATGTTCAGCCTTGTAGGACAATAAACTGGGAACTGCACGTTCATTTTAAAGTGCACGGAGCTGGCACTGATTTAGCTGGAGATGGGTTTGCCATCTGGTATGTCAGAGATGCCATGAAACTTGGTAAATATAAAAAAAATTTTAAATTATATGAATTCTCAAATTTCATATTTCATTAAATTTTAAGGAGTAAACTATTTGAAGACTTTTATAATTGTATCAATTTTTCCCTTTTTTCATTATTATCTGCAATATTAAAATAAAACCAAGCAACCTTCAGCAATGTTGTCAGTTTGAATATTTAAGTTTTAACTTATTGATCCTTATTGATTGCATCAGATTCATGCCTATGCATTTTTCGTTCACTTTCATAAATAGTTTTCCCATCAGCACTAACAAATTTTGAATAAATTTGTTGGTTATATCTTTAAATTATTTTTCAACATTTTTTTTACTAGCGGAACTTGCCAACCATCTTAGCTTTTATGCTTTTGATGTTAATATCTTGTGCAACATTTATGTCTACATAGACGAATAATAATGACATTGGTTTAGATAAAAAAATTAATTTGTTGAAAAACATTTCTTGAGCCGAATATATATATATACAATCCTAAGTACTTTTGATGAAAAAACTAAATCATCTTTAATTGGTTTGTTATGCTCACAATATTTCTTGGGTTCTACAAATTATGAGTGAATGGCACCTTTTATTACATGAGGAATTATTAATGCAAGCCTATAAATAGATGATTTTGATCCAGATGTAATTAATATATTAATGCATTTATAAGAAATGCTTTTTACAGAATAGTTTTCATTATTCTTACCGTTATTTTTCATTTTAACAGGTCCAGTGTTTGGAAGCATTGACAACTTTTATGGACTTGGAATATTTTTCGACACATATTCCAACTACCATGAAAAGCACAAGGTACTCATTGCAATAAGAAATTATATTTTATTTCCCTTCTGACAGCATAATGTTTTGAATCATTCAACAATTGAAAATACTTTTAATCTGACTGAACTGTTTTCCTGCATTTCTACTTTCTTAGCATGGATTCCCATACATATCAGTGATGGTGAACAATGGATCACTGCATTACGACCACGACTCTGATGGCACAGGCACTGAGGTGGCTGGTTGTGAGGCACACTTCAGGAATCTCAAAGTGGAAACATTCATTGCCATTCGATATGAAAATAACAAGTTAACTGTTAGTTACATCATTTAATGGAGCAGATGAGATCATACATTAATTTTATTTAGTTTTATTTCATTTCACTTGATGTCTAGGGCCTGCTATTTTGTCATTATTTACTATGTTCAAAATGTGTATCTAATTATATTTTATTCTTTTTATTTATTTGTGTAGTTTGTTAATTTTCTACAATTTTGATTTTTAATTCTTACAAATTTAAAAAAGATATCTTTAGACATTGATGGCAAGAACACGTGGAGGACCTGTCTGAAAGTAGACAACATTCTGCTGCCTACAGGATTGTTCTTTGGAGCATCTGCTGCTACTGGTGGATTGTCAGGTTAGTTTGTTTTGTTCTGCATGTTTGTTGAATGCCTCTGTTGAACTTCTGCAAATTTAATTTATATAGTCACTTGATTGTCAGGCTCAATAGTTGCTTTTCAGTTCTTAGTCATGTTTGTTTTTTAAAATCTTTTTGAACGTTTGACATCTTTCAGATAATCATGATTTGATCACTTTCAAGATGTACGACGTGGGCACGGCGGAGGTATCTATAAATCATTCCCTAATCACATTTACATAATTTATTTGAACATTTAATAGATTGAATATTAACTCGTTACGTGCTGTGCCGTTCAAAAACATCATTCTCACAATTTTTGTCATTCACAGCACGAAGATGAAGATGAGATCAACGGAAGGATGGCAATTGTGCCTTCTCTGGAAGGATTTGAATATGAGGATTGTTAGTATTGTTTAATATATTTTGTGTAGGTTTAGTGTTTAGTAGTTTTTAATGTTGAATAATTAATAGATTTTAATAAAAATTTTCTTATTTTTTTTGACAGTTACCAAAACGGAAAAAGTTGTCAAGGAATCCTGGTCCTTCCTCTTTATTTTATTTGTAATTTTCATGGTTGTCGTTTGTCTAGTGTTGGCTGCTGTTGGAATTTATTATTTTTATGAAAGTCGACAAAATAAAAAACGCTTTTACTAACAGTTTTTTCGATCTCACGTGCTATTTTCCATTCGTTTTAATCATTTTTTAGAATCAAATTCCTATTTCGTATTTTTAAATTATTAACTAATCCTCCCATTTTGCGTTGCATTTTGTTTTGTTATGTTTACTCAACCGTTCTTCATCTTGATGAAATAATAGATTGTATTAAATAAATCAATAAAGGTGCCAAAGCTTGTTCTAGTTTTCCTTACCATTCAATATCCAGATCGAATGTTTGACATGAAGTTTTTAAAAGTTTTTGACAGTAGCTACCGTGGAGTCGTACTCTCGTTAAGAACTTGGATGGAAGTGAGAGCACGTTGATGTCACGTATTTATTGTAATGTTGATATATACGCGGAACTTCCGAAACTCATACTGATAACGGTTATGGCTGACCTTCAAGAATTAGAATGAAGTGTGATGACGAATGCTTCGCTGCCAACCTTCAAAGAAATGCCGTATGATCTAAATTTGCTGTAATAAACATGGATATATCCATGGTAATAAACTCAAATACCCAGCACCCACTCTATTTTATGTCATCCCGTATTTTTGGCAAATCCTTTAAATTTATAAATATTAATAAATATTTATAAATATCTATAAATTCTTTATAGATTTCCTCCATTAATGCAGATGCTATCAGATTAACATTTAGCGTTTTTCTATTCAAGCTGGTTTTTCATGAGTTCGATTCTTATTTTCTGACTGACTCCAGCTGAATTCCAATATTTTTCAAAAAACTTTCTCAAACGAAAAAATTGCTATCGATTTTTGCTGCGTACATTTTGTGATTACTTTGTCGGTTTGTTCGTCTGCATTTCTGCTAGCAGTCCGTTAACTTCGTACTTACATTTTCAGCCGCAACACACCGAACAAAATTCTATCAATTAATTGATTAGGCGCGTGTTGAACGTGGCTTGAACAATTCAACATAGCAAACTAACAATGCTGCTGAACACACGGCATCGAACGACATTCGTGCTCCAATTTATAAATTCTAACGTAATGTTTCGTTGCGTACACGTGTGTAAGCATTTGTATATACATACATATGTTTGTGCGTGTGTGTATGTGTTGGGTTTGCGGGTGTGAGCCTTATATTTTTGTATTCAAACAATGAATAACTGATGATGATGAAAAAGAAGTTGATGATACATCTCTGGCATTTCCCTCACCATCACGATACTGCTCCCTTTTCTTCTTATTCCTCCTCTTTGAAGGGTGTAATTCAATTTGCTCGTTCAAATGAATTTTTCTTGTTACTTTCCATAGAAGATGCGTGCTTATAACTATTTTTTGCTTTTCTGTTTTCTATTGATTTCAAACATCCTTTTTGTTGTTCATGTCTCTCTTTTGATTTCATAAATGCCACGCATGCAGAAATGTTTTGTTGAACGTTTTGATTTTTTGACAAGTTCAACTTCCGAATGAAATTTCATTAAACAAAACATAACAAGAAAAGTTAACTGCATTTTTTTTATTTATAAAACAAATCAAAAATAACTTAATTGAAATGTTTCCAAGACAATTATCTACAGGACAATTTGTGTCAGACTGCAGTTTGGATGCCATCAAGTTACGTGCGTGAGTTCAACGTGTGTGCTACGTATGTTGGTGTATGCGTATAGTTTATTTTTTAATTTAATAGTATTAGCTTTTAGTTTTAAATACAAATGCCTTAAGTGTATCACTTCAGAGTTTAAGCATCTGCGTTTTTTAATTCAATAGAATGTTTGAAGTGCAAACTCACACATATGCCGAACAAAAGATAAAGTCATTAAATGAATGCGAGCCGAGCGTTGCACCCTTCAAAGTGCATTGCTTTAATTGCAGTTGACTTAACCTCTTATCACTATGTTTTTTTCGTTGGTGTGGGTTGTTGTGACGAGTTTGTTCTTCTTAGCATCACAAGAATTGTGAAGAAGTGGTGGTCTACTGATGAGTTGCATTTGAATTTCAAATTCCTAATTCAAATCTAATCTCGAAATTATTTTAAATTTGTACTTCGGATTCCCTTCAGTAAAAAACCTTATTCAATTATTTTAAATCAATGCACATAAACGATATTAATTCTGTTTCTTTGCAAGATTTCAAAGCCTGTATACATTTTTTACAGTTTTTGCGGATATGGATGGTAGTAGACAAGCTGGAATATGTGGATGTGTCCGATGGTTTACGATAGGAAGTGAAGTTAATGGTGAGTCAGGATGCTCATTAAGTGAACACTTTTCTTTCATATTGTCCCGGTCTGCTCATTACAATCACAACGACGACGATGCTAGCTGCACTCGCATCACTCCAACCAAGGAGAGTAGATGTCCTTTGTGTTCAAGTCTTAGAAATACTGTGCATTTACTACTAAAATATTATTTGAAAAAAATTGAGAATTTAAAAATGAATGACTTGTAATTTCTGGTCACTTCTGTGACTTCATCGGTTATTTTTTCAGAAAACAGCTTCCACAAAATGTTTAAAAGACCTGGAAATAATTTTTCAATGGCTGTTTTTGATTATAAAGTCGTTTAATTCTGTGTTCATTTTAAATTTATAGTAAAGATTAAAAAAGCAACTGAATAAAAAAAATAAAGAGCTTGACAGGTGTATGTACAACGAAGAATGTGGTTCAATTTTGTGGGAGCACATGGGACTGATCACTGACTGAATTAATATTAATTCTATTTAATCAACTGAAATTGAAAAGGAAGCAACAGTGATAATATAGAGATGACATTAAATAATATTCTGAAAATATTATTTATGTCCTTATATAAAAGACTAGTTCTTGACAGCTTTCCTTACAAAATATTTTCAAATTGTATTATACCAAAAAGAATAAATCATATTTTTAGCGATAATAACCAATGATTAACAACAATATTAACAACAATAACAGAAACGATAGTGCTCGTTAATGTAACCAACAGCCAACAACACAAATTGTGAGACAAAAACATCGTTTGAAGCACGGAAATCAAGTTGTTTCAAATGAAGTTGCGCTTTTTTCATATGATGATGATGGACTTTTAAATTATGCAAACGTTCTTGAGGTTCAATTTAATATGCGGCTTATCAGTTATGCCATCAATCAAGTTGTACACACACACACACACACACACACACACACACACACACACACACACACACACACACACACACACACACACAAACATATTATAGAAAGTGCATGTTTTTATGTACAGATAGTGCGTGCGTCATTACAGAGAAAAACGAGAAAAAATTGTTGCCAGTATTATTTCAAAAATGATCTTACTTAATATTACATGAGGGCTGATGAAGTGACAATATAATTTGAATAATTCAACTCAACAGTGACGATAGGGCAAATATTAAAACGCGGCAAAGCTATGAAATATATAGTTGCCAGAACTCTCTGACATTGCAAATCAATCCTATGAGTAATTGCGAATAACAACAATTTCTTTGAGTCCAGGATGAATTATTTAAATTTAAATGATTTATTTTTATCTGAAGCACTGTCATCAAATACTAATTTCCACATAATCAGATTTGAGGTTACAATTTTCGTTTAAAATCGCATTAAGCAAAATATTTTAACAACGTAACTTCTCATAACCCACAAGCAACAAACATTAACAAATACAAACACACATACACTGACACATACACAGTTCGGTTATTTATGTATATGTACAGTACACATAGCATACAAACGCATAGACGTGTGTACACACAAAAATTTGAATTGAACATTTACTCATAGTGAGAAAAAATATAACAACGGTTATCAAGCATATGAATGAAATGATATGATTTAGCTTAAACATTGTTTACATTTATCTTTTAAGAAAATATCAATAAATACAACATACCAATGTTTTATGATCTAGTTGTATTATATACATCATCAAATTTGAAGTTACGAATGTAAAATGGGGAACTCGTCATAAATCACCTTGCTCAGCAGAGTTGTTCCTATCACTCAATAATTTCGTTACGCGGAGCACCTGTGCCAACCACCATATCACGCTTATTAATCATGGTATCTCATGATATCTCTCAAAAACGTGTTATATATATATATATATATATACATATATACATGTATTTAAAAGCATAGGACATGTATAAAATATACATCATACATTGGTAGAATGCACTATAGCGTCATAACCACATCGAAATATACCAATCATTTTACTCCGTTCTCATCATTTGGAGTCACTCATCGCAAGTGAAACAAGTAGGAAGCATGTAACCACCAAACTTATGCTCTCAATATATTGATATACAAGATATACGACACACAATATATTATTAAATTATTTTTGACGCTAATATTTTTTTTCTTTACATATTTTTAATAAATAGACTCATTTAACTTTTTTTGTTTTGTTTTTGTGAGCTGCTGAAATGAAACAACAGCTCGATGTAATAATGAATGAGGTGTTCGTAGAAGTTTTCAAAAATAACAAAAATGCTATGGAGACAGCGAGTGTTGGATCGTTTGATTGATTTGAAAAAAGTTTCAAAATGTTTTTGTCTGGTTTGCAGATGAATTATTCAATAAATTGACGTTAACACCGGCGATGTACATGATGAGAGAACTTGTTATAAAGATAACAATAATATTCATAATGATATTCAATATTTTAAACAAAACTAAGGGGTAAACTTGAGCTAAAAATTTTAAAATTAATTATGGTTCCTATCTCTTCAAGTTTTATTCAAAATAAATGCTTTTGATTTTCAATTTAAATTTTTGAAATCTTTTAGGTACAATAACTTGCGTCGGTTCAGATGCTTCCTAACCAAAATCCTTGAGGATGTGCCACTGAAAAACTTCCTGCCTGGCCTTCGAGAACATTTCATTCCAGTGTTTCACTTCCATTGGCCCGCTTTTACTGCCCAGCAAAATTTGACCTTGCATGTTTTCAAATTAATTTCATGAGTTGTCAATAGCTTATACATTTATGTTGACTTTTATAATAATTTCACACTTTCTAAAATAGTATATGATATGTTTTAATGCTAAAAAAAATCAAAATATTACTTATGCTTCAGTTTTTAGCCGATTCGAATTAATAGGTAAAGTAGATGTGTTTAATGGAGAGTATTTCAAGAAATGTTGAATTGTGAACATGCGGTAGGATAGGATTGTATCTAATGAAACACTCGCCCAGGAACGTATCACGACACCTACCTATCTGCTCGTTCCTGCCCATGCGATCGTAATCCATGACGCTTATCATGAGTGATGTCTGGCGGATCTTCTCGTAAGGTACGTCGAATGCGAAATTTTCATCAAACTGAGGATTCAACGACTTTTCTACTGTTCTTGTTTTCTTCTTCTCAGATTTTTTCCCATCCAACATGAGCCATATTTTAACGTAAGGATCTGAATTAATGATGATAACACAACGTAGGTAAAAGCAAAAATATGTGTATAAATAAAAAGACAATCAAAGGTTTTATAGCTATCAAGTAGAGCAATAAACGCAAACATTGTTGAAAGGTTTGCATCTAATGTTTGCAGGAGTAGGTGTACATGCACGCGTATACACGCACGTACGCACAAGTATTTGTGCATGCACTTGCATGTATAGCTGCAGAGTACAGATGTGCCAATACAGACAGGCATGTACAGCGTTTATAGGTACAATTCTTTTACTTTGAATGTTCGTGTGTACGCTCGAATTATCGGTGCATGTTTGTGCATCTGTGCGTGGATTTGTCTTGAGATCATGCAAATGTTCGGGGCCTTGTCTGCGAATGAATGGATGTTTGTGTGTGCTTGCATATGTACGACGAACAGTGGAGTATTCGTTGCATCTTTTCGGGCAGATTATATTAAGTGATATTTGCATATACTGGTTGTAAATATTTTGATGTTCTTTCATGTTATAATATCTCATTGGGATACCCAAATATTTTCCCAAAAAACCCCATCTAAACATTAGATATTATCCAAATATTTTCCAAGAATGTACATACAAACAAAAACCCAATCTAAACACTTGTTTAAAATTGCAATAAACAAGCAGATATTAACAGCAACAACAACAACAACAACAACAACATGACTCCGAGTGTGTGCACGTAACAATAATTTATAAGACGAGGCGTGTAAGAACGTTGTGGCTGCGGCGAGTGGGCTGGTTGTACGAGGACCTGCATTTCATTCGCATCAATGAAAGGCTTAAAATTGCATAGCCATAAAAATTTTTACAACAAAAGTACAAGGGAAATAGAAAGGCAAACACTTTTGGATGGTCTGGGGGCTATATAATTGTAACTCGTTTTCGATGGTACTATGAAAGCAATAAAACATTTTGTCTTCAGTTCTGCTGGTGCTCTGTTCTAGCTTACAAATGTCACCCACAAAACATTCCTGCCTGCCAAGTGATGCACGCTGACTTCAAAGTTTATGCCTCTACTTTTTTCCATCAGAGTCATAAAACGAGAAACTGCATCCTCCCACAACGTTGTACGTACAACTCAGGGCAGCAGGTTAATTAAATTGAATAAGTGTTCAAATTTAAATTATAAAGTTTATTAATAATAATCAATTAAATATTTTTTGAGTTTAACATATCAGTTGGCATTTTATTTTTTTAAAATTATCATTTGATGAAATGAATTAGTTAAAAAAAATGAAGGTTAAAATTTCTAAGAGCGTGATGCCATTAGAAGCCTTTAGAAAAATAAATGAAGATCAACGAGCAAAGCACTTAATAAGAAAGTCACGTTATATAATATATGAAGTCACTTGAACAATACAAATAAAAATTGAAAGTTTTCTCATAGTTTATATTACTTTTAAGCAAAAAACCCCAGTCCTTTTTTTTTAATTAATTATATCACACAAAACAAATTATTTTATGGCCCATATATCAATAATTAAACTAATAAACAAATAATAAAAAATGAATAAAAGAATAAAAATAAAAAAAACCTGAAAGTCCATTGATGTCCTTGGCCTTGAGATCCCTGGCTTTCTTGATGCTGACCGTCAGCTGGCCGTTGGAGGGGTGATAGCACAGGCCTACGTAGATCTCCCCGAGTTTTCCCTGCTCAGTCGAATTAGTGTGCATGTGTTTGTTGTCTGTTTGTGTGTGCGCGTGCGTGTTTTGTGATTTTGTGATGTGGTTGTTGTGTTGATTATTATTTTTAAAGATGTTTAGGTTAACTTTGATAATTGGAAATAGGGTAGTAATAATTTTTGTTAAAGAATTATATATAACATGTGGTGGTAGCCATATGTAAAAAAATAAACTTTATAATAAATATATGAGCAATTAAAATGATTCTCTCTCTCAAACTCTCTCTCTTCCTATTTTTTTCATATATTAATGCATACATATCAACGATTTTCTATCTAATTCATAAAATTTAATTTGAAATTTTGGTTAGAAAAGATTTCTGTGCAATGATTATTGAATCAGGAGGAAGGATAGTTTATGAGATGCCGTCTCATTACCTTCATGGGATCACAATAATTTTCAAAAATTTGATATGCGCTAAATAATTTTTTTCGCTACGTAATGAAATCCATTGTATTTTCTATTAAATTTTATTATAATTTATAATTAAATAATTTTATTATATTTTTTTTATAATGACAAAATCTTTAGCATTTAATTTTAAACAAAATTTTATCAACCCGTTTGTATTAGCTATAGAAAAATTATCTGGCAGATCTTAAAGTATTTCATATTTTAATAGTTTACTAAAGACCAATTGAAGAACAGGTTTTCTAAAAAATGTTTCAGATAAATGAATGAATAAAATTCAAAAGTAGCATAACCACCATGTGACTCTTGCATGGCTGCAAATTCTTCCAAACAGTCTGGCCAGACGACAGATCGAAGTCGCTCAGTGGAATGCACACTTCACCAATCGGATCATCTCTACTGAATCTTAAACAATCATCAATACATGTACTTCACTGTGTTTATCCATTGCTTAAATGCTTATATATGCATGGTACATATTAACTGTAAATGTTGTATAAATGCGTTGCTCTGTTGGTTTTTTGACTGTTCATTTTGATTTACATTTGCACTGACAAATAAATAAATTTTTACCAACCTATCGTAATCTAGGACTTGCAGGTACAAAGTTTTGTTCATCAGCTTGGCATACGGAAAGCCTGTTATTTGTGGGTTTGTAATTATTCTTACTTTAAATAAAATAATATTATATTTTTTAAATAAAATATTTGAAAAATAATATAATAAACCACTTTTATTTAGTGACGATGCTCCATAATTTTACTCAACATTTTAAATTGCTTCTGCCACAATGCTTTTCAACACGTGTTTTTACGTGTTTTTACAACTCCATTCCAATGTTTTCGTAACTTTTTTGGAGAACCATTTTTGAGTAAAACATTTTTTTGTGTACTTTAGTAATTTTTTTTTATTTTTCAAATTAGAAATAACGCAAAATTTTCATAGAAGCTTGAAACGTTCACGTGTTACAAGTTAGAACATAAATCATTTCCACGAGTGACTTTAATATCAAAAACTAGCAGTTCATTCCTCATTGATAAGAACTTGCAAGCAATCTATAACGATGCTGGCATGCAGCCATCCTGGTTTTTGTTCATTTATTATAATTTGGTGTATGTTGCAAAATTTCGTTTCACATAAATCTTATCTTGTTTTGTGTAAATTTGTACGCAACATCAATATTGTCATGTGGATTGAGCGTCATGAATGAATAGATGATGGAAGGAATCGAATGGACATGCTGTCGAAATCCAATTAACGATAAATCACATCATCACTTGGAAGCGGCCAAAATATTTCCAGTAACTGTTGTATATATATATATATATATATATATATATATATATATATATATATAACAGAATTTTAACAATATTCAATCTTGTCTGAAATAAAATAATTTTTCTGAAATTTATTTTAAAAATTTTACCGTCAAATAATATTTTATACGATTCAATAAATCATGTCCAAGTTTAAAGATACCAACAAATTTTTCAGAATTCAGCTCAATTTGAAACACAATCAGAAGGCACACATAAATTTCTAGAAGTAAGTTAAAAAATCTGGCACTTCCTCCTGTTGCCGTCAATCATTTCTTCGATAGCCTGAAACGAGTTGAAGTCATTTAAGGAACTTATTAGGAGCTTAATTATTAAGCATAGTTGATGCCGACGTGTGGCAGGCGATGGTGTTCCAATAATTCACCATCGTAGGTTGGAAAATGTTCTTGAGTCCGTGAACTGAATTAATTATTAATAGCATCAAATAACCAATAAGTTTGTTACTAAGAATTGTTGGATTGAGTCATTCGAGTGAAGTATATCTATATGAAACATTTCAGTTGACTCTAAAAGTGAAAAAAGTTAAACTTTTATAAGTATCCGTCTAATTTTATAAAAATATCAAATTCGAAATATCGTAGGCCAATAACGGGCTTGCCTGCCCCACCATGAATTTTTGAAGGAAGGGAGATGCCAAACCACTTTGCTCTCGGCAAGACGATGTCAGTGTATGTATGAAGCGTGTGTAAAATAATTACATATAGTTTTTCTCTATAATTTGTAATAAATGTGTGTGTGATTAAATCGTTACTACTACTATACTAATAATAATAATAGTCGTAGACATTTTTATAATATGAGTTTTATGAATTTGAGGGTGGTTGTTAGGTTGAGGCTTAATTGAAAAATGTTGTCCGTGTTTTTGCGTGCATCTGCATCAAATATTATCTCATAAAAATATCTGAAATCTGGAAGAAAGATATGAGTGTATGTTTGCGCTTGGTATTGAATGGTATCATCATTAGCATTCAATTTTCACTACTACCATCACCATCGTTATCATCATCACTTAAAAAATCATTTCTACTTCGTCATTGTTATCATTGTCATCATCATCGTAATCGACGTCATCATCATGATCCTCCCAGTCATCATCATCGTCGTCATCATAATCATCATCACCATAGTCATCACAATCATCATCGTCGTCGTCATCATCATGTTAACCATCACCGTCGTCACAATCCCCATTTTCATCCCGCAGAAGTTTTAACAATTGGTCAGACAGTAACGACGATGGTACAAGACAAACATCAGAGTCCATTTCCATCAGGAACTCATCAGCGCGCTTTTTTTTTACCATCACCATTACATCATCAGCTTGATGATAAAGTTGATAGCGTTTATCGTAAAATACCACTAGCCATCAGTTTCATTATCATAGTCATAATTTTTTATCATTTATTGTTTTATTTATTTTATTTTGTTAACATCATTTAAACAAACAATATCCTCTATAAATATCATTACTTTTTTGAAAAGAGGATAAAATTTATTGCAATTTTATAAGATTAAATGAGAACATTGTTTGAGTGAGGTAAACATTTCTAGCCAAGACTTTTGGCCATGAAATACACTTTGCAGCATTATTCCCGCTCTAGAATGTAAAAAAAATTTAAACAAAACAAACTTTTCATTCATTTAAAAAATTTTTGCATAGTTTTCTAAATGTTGTATCCTCCTTCTGGTCTCAGGTGCTTCTAATCAGTAAAACAACCTTTTCAATTATGAAAGGAAGGTAACAAAACCAGAAGAGAATGAACGTAATACAATTCTGCTATCTACAAAACGAAGCACGAAATTTAATTTTCAAAACTGTTTGTTAGTATTGTGCATATATGTGCACACGTGTTTACTGCGCATGCGTATTAAACAAGAGGTTTTCGTACTTTAACAAACATCAAGAAAAGTATAATACATAAATAGTGTCTGTGTGTGAAAAAAACCAAAGAGTGTACACAAGAAGTGCATGTTTATGTGAGGGCATGGACTTAAGCTTGGAAAGATGCAGTAGCAAAACGATGGACTATGTTCCAAAAGGGCAAGTGTTGCTCTGCACATTTTCAACCAATCGATAAAGCGCCATTTCCGCAATGCCCAATAACGCTCCTCAATGAATTTTACTAACAAATGGGTCTTGAGATCCAATCTTAACTTTGTGAGTGATGGAGAAGTAGTTAGAGAGGTAGAAAGTTCCACAGAATAGGTCCAGAAAAGGCAAACGACGATTTAGCATAAGAGTATTTAATATGAGTCAAGAAGTTAAGAATAATTTTTTTTAACTAGTTATCTTCAATTAATGTGAAAAGGTTGAGTACTTGAAGGCATGAATGTTTATATGAGTAATATTAATATTTTGTATATAAATCAAAATAATTTTTAAATGAAGTTATTAAGAGTAAGAGTTGTAATAAAACAAATTTGAATTCTTAAAAGGTGAATTTGTTAAAAGGTTGAATGACCAAACACATCTATGGGGAAATTGTTTCCACGGATATTTATATCGTGTATAAAAAATGAGTATGCACTTAAACGTGATTATGATAGAATGGGGAAATAGTTTTATAACTCTTGAACGCAGAAACGGTTTGGATTAATGGAAGTCTGAATGAGTCAATCGATCAATGAAAACTATAGAAAACTGAGTGAACAAATTTTAATGATTAAAGGGAGGAATGAATCAATAGATGAATGAATAGCGTTGCAAACGATTGAATGGACGAAGTAACTTATTCAGTGACCGAGCATTCACGTGCTGACGAATGAACGATTTTTCAAGGAAAATAGTAAACGGACGGATGCAAAATATGCGCAAATGTGTTAAAATCAAAATTTAGAACGTTTGGCAATGTGAACTAATATATAAATATATTATAATTTTGCTGAATTCCAAGTTCAACAACAACTTATAAACAAAAATTTTTATATTAAGAAAAATGAAAAATATACTTTGAGAGTTGTAGGAAAAGTGCAGGGAAAAGAAAAAAGTGCTTTAAAAAGCAAAGCGGTGTGATGGGTTATAAAGTTTATGTAAAATTTCAAAAATGAAATTTTCGTAAAATATTTGTAAACATTTAAAATCGCACAATGTTTATAATTGTTGAAATCAGTGATTAAATCATTAAAATTTAAATTACCTTGTGTTGACCATAGCGAAATAAAATAAATTCAGTAAGTTGAAACTGCAATAATGAAAATATGAAAAGAAAATTATTGTTAGAGCATGGAATTGAGAACCGACGTCTATTCATTCATTAAGATGCTTTACAGCTGAACATTTTAGCGACAAAGAAAAATTCCAAAAGTTCTTCTTACGGCGATTTATGTGCCTATTTGTTTGTATTTGTATTACCAGCTTGGAACTGCAAGCGTACATTCCAATGCAGGCATAATTTCCTCACAGCACACTAACGTGAATATTTAAAGATGTGCAATTACCTTGAGTTTCATTCAAATTTCAAAGTTTTTAGGATTACTCAGTTCTTTTCATACAAGCTTTTGTTGACTTATGGTTAAAAATTTTTTCTATTTAATTAAACTTTTTCTTCATTTTTAAAATTTATTTTTTAATTTCAAGAGCTGTCGAATTGTCCTTTCTTTACATATTCTTTTTAAAATGGTAAAAAATATAATGGCAATATAAAAAACCAAAAATGTTAATTGTAAAAATTTTATAAATTAATCTTTCTATTGATCAACAACAGCGGTTCCAAACCTTTTAAGTGGCAGCCTTCCTAAAAATTCAAATAATGATAGAGCCAGCCTATCTCCGTTTCCACCGGCAGGTTCAAAGTTGATGACCTTTCTTTGGCTCATTAGACTATGTTTTTCATTTTTTTACGTTTTTTAATTAAAATTAACTTTGCAGTTGATCTATTCAAAGTTTTTCACTTTATAATGGAAATGAGCGTTGACTTGACCTCTCCGGAAACTTGTTGGCTTCACAGGTTGGCAACCATTGATCAACACTCGACAAATATTTTATACTTATTTTTAATTTCAATTTTTAACTTACCACTCTTTATTTTTTATAAGATCTATTGAGGCAAAGTATTTTAAACAAAAAACAAAATTTCATCAACCAAAGTTTTCAAACGTTTTTGAAAATGCCATCAAGTTGCATCCCTTTTAAAACATCAAAGTTGGTACTGTCAAAAAATTTGTTTTTGCGAACGTTTTATTAGAATTTAAAAAATAACTCAAATGTTGATAAAAATAATTTGAATATTTCAAAAAATATTCATGTCATTGGTGCATTTTCTGCAGCAATAAAACTTTATAAACTCGCCAACGTAGCA